AGCGCTAGAGTAGATTGTCAGGGAATCTGGACCTACCGATTCGCAAAATTATTTTGCGATATACAACGAAGGGCGATTTTGGGAGGGATGGCTGGGACGAGGATGACGACATGGAGGACATGACGCAAGTCGCACGTGGGCGGAAAATCTGAGATGGTTTGAGTCCGGGTGTTTATTCCTGAACATAACTTACCATGAACCACAGAACGACCAAGAATGACACGACTTCACCCGCCGCCATGAGGAACATCCAGAGCGCCTGGGTACTGACGAACCACCGCAATTGTACGGCAGGATCAGGACTGTTGAACCAACCTTTTACTAGTTTCAACTTTTCGCTGCGGCAACGAGAGGGTATGACGCTCACAAGTATCGTTATAATCCCAGAATCTGAGGCAGAATCAGAAATAGTTCCACACTTGAAGGGAAAAGACACGAACCCGAGTGCACCAGCAGCGTACGGCGGAACGTTGCAGGCCAAAGTCAGCAAGATGGCTCCTGAAATGTAGTACTTTTCCATTTTCTGTCCGTTGACGCCGTGAACCAGCACCAATCTGCGTTCTGCCTTTCAGTAACGACGGTCTTGAAAGCATTAATCACATACTGCAGATTGAGCGCCATGGAGAAGAACATCGCGCCTGCGAACTCGAGACATACCTACCACAGATGGATCAGTTTCTGATTCCGAACAGCAGGCAATTTGACGTACGTCGGCCAAAAAGGTTGTACCATTGCATGCGGCGCCTGCCTTGAGCTGCGAGTTGCTGATCATTGTCACGGCATAAGCTAGGCTGCAATTAGAAGTGAAAGTGAGCTGTTTATGATTTACTCGAAGCGATAGAATTGCTTACTTCGCTATGAGAGCATACACGAGAAGCCGGAAGCTGACGCGGTTGAGATAAGGCCGTGACACCGGATTCCATGCCGTCCATGCATACGCCCCCAATATCGACATAATGAATGCAATTGACGGGATGGAAATGGCCAAGATGAGGTCGCTGGAAAATTATTGGACTCTAGAAGACTGTGCAAGGGCGAGAGAGGCTCACGGTACACGAGCATCGAAGGACGTTGGGGTGTGCATTCGAGGGGACATGGTGGGTGCAGAAGTGCGAGTCTGAGACAAACTTGCCGCGTTGATGGTCAGCCACTTCCGCAACCGAGACATTCCGCAATGCGGATCTAAAATGAAACAGGTCAGTGGGGCTCATATTCACCAGCAAAGCGCCGCATTACAGGTAGTCGACTCGATCAGATTCCATGACGGCGGTTCACTAAAATGGCAACGGGATGAGTTTGCTACAGTGGTCCTAAATACATTGGAATGAACGGTGAGAGTCACTTGTTGTGAGAAGGGGACCATAAGGGGCCGCTCATCCTGAACAGCCTTCGGAGCTCTCCCTGGCTTTCTCACCAGTGTCTTCCCGTACTTTAAATTCTTGGCGCAAGAAGCCGCGGAAAATCCAAAGAGGAAACTAAAGCCAGAAACCTGCATGTCGTTTGTAATTGAGGATTCTGGGCCGCTCGGAAAGTTAACGAGGGGTAGTAACCGGGGTCACCTGTGGTCGCAGAGTCTAGAGAATATTGCCCACACTATGGCAACTTCCAAAGTCGGGACCTGCCTCCAAGCTCCTTCCCTTCATTAGGGGAAGTCAAAGTTCGCTTAGCGAACGATTCTGGCGTCGATTCAAGTGTCGATTCTGGTGTCGATTCTTGACACCAGAATCGACGATTCTCATGAATCCACGAGAATCGATGATTCGACTCCGGAGTCGAATCATCGATTCTGATCGATTCTTGATGAATCGTCCACAACCTCGATTCTCCGGCTTTTCTTGGTGGAGAATCGACGCCAATTGATGTCTGGATCGACGACAGAATCGGCGCATGAATCGAGGTCTGAATCGTCGCCGTAAGCGAACTTTGACTTCCCCTAATGGTTAAAACGTACGGTATTATCTGCGACTGGGTGCCTGGCCACACTAAGTAGCTGGCCACTTGCAGGATAGAGGGTGCTGAGCTTTTTAATCATGAGATTTGGTACTTGTGGGATGAAATACAACCTGTGAGCATGCTGTATGTCGAAATTTAAGGCAGAATGAGGCGGCTATCAGAAGTTACGAGAGGCTTTTTTATTAGGACACCGGCGTGCAAACAGAATTTCTTATCTCCGAACGGCCTAACGGCCTTGCCGCTTGTCTTTTGCCTCGTTCTCTACCAATATCAGGTCAATTCACAGGCTTGGGGGCTCATTTTCATCGCACGACTCACAAAAAGGACACACATTGATCAAATACATGAAACTGGGTCCCGCTTACATGCTGGGGCCGTTTGAGCGGTCCTGTCGGACGGCACGATCCAGCCACCTTTCTAACGAGCCATCCACGCTGGCTACGGATCTCGAATTTGACTGGGGCATTCAAGGTCGCTACCGGCGTCTTACAGGGTTGACAAGGCTTCCTACTGCCTGACATCTCGCTCACGATAGGGTTCTACCCCAAACCACCAAATTTCGTTCGCGCAATTTTGTTTGAGGGGTTGTTGAGGTGCGGGGTACATCCTGTGCACACCGGTATGTTTGAATACATCCTATACAGCTCACGATAGGGTTCTATCCCAAACCACCAAATTTCGTTTGCGCATTTTGTTTGAGGGGTTGTTGAGGTGCGGGGTACATCCTGTGCACACCGGTATGTTTGAATACATCCTATACAGCTTTATATATCTTAATTTGGGCCGCCGCCAAGCTCTGCGCATTGCAGCGCACGCCATTCGCTCCACATCACAATTTTACCAACCCTCACTGTGTTGAAAGCGGAGTAGTGGGTGTCTTCGTGTACCTCATATGTACCATTGGTGTGTATGAAATGATGTATTAGTATTCCTTCAATCATTTGGGATGCTCCAGGGTGAACAGAATGAGTGCGAACGATCAGTATTGCGGGGTGGCCAGCTTCCCCGTTTAGTCCCCTTTTGGGATATCGCCGAAACATAAATTCAGTGATGCATGAAACCGTGACTTAAAATTGCAGAAGGTATCTCAGATTACCTTTAGGATGTATACCTTCGTCTCAGATCCAGTATACTGCCAACCACCTCACTCTGTGTACGGGCTCAAGGTCAAAAATGCTAAGGTGGCCAGGTAGCCAGTCTCAGACGGGCTGTGCTTGTCAAAATCTGGCTCAAGCCATTATCCCGTATAAATCAAGCGAGACACTAGTGATTCTATAGCATTTTTCAAGAGAGACTAATTATTTTGGCTCTTTGTCGACTCCCTGGGTTCAACATAGGTCACGTGAATTTGGTTCAACTTTTTTAAATGTTCATACAGACAATTACATTTGACACCCAGAATAAAATTAGATCTGACGAGTGAACTCTGGCGCTGGTTCCATATCCATTGCGAGATCCCCTCTAGTTTCAGAGGAGTCTCAATGTCGCTATTCTGACAGGAACTCCCAGAAGACTGAGTGCCATTGGACTCCAAGGCGACATGTACACAGTTTGGATCTGTAGAGGCGTCCGGACGAGGATAGAGAGCATGCAGTGTGCGAAGAAATAACTGCGTTGTTTTGTGTCAGAAATATAGTGGAACAAGAAATCAAAATCGAGTTGACACACGGGATCTGTCGCGGCCAACGCAGTGCAGCGTACATTAGTGGCCGGAGGGCGAATATCATCAAATCTGAGTATGCCTAGGTAACTTGTTTGAATGTTTCGAGGGGGAACTCACCAACAATGCCCAAGATCCAATTCTATCAGGACCTAGAGATCAAGACAATTCTTGGGGGATAAAACGAAGATGCACCACCTGGGTATCAGCTCAATCCAGAATTGTATGCATATCGAGGATAGCACCAGTAATGTTCAGAAAACACAAGAATTCCACGTCGTCCATGCATACGCACACAATATCAACCCAGTTATTATAGTTGACGGGATGGCCAAAGGAGATCCCTGAAAAAACTGTTGACAGCTGTCTGCTATGAGACACCGAGGAACGTCTTACGGGAGGCGAGCATCGAAGGACGTTGGAGTGTGCAGTCGAGGATGAGTGCAGAAGTGAGACAAACTTTGTGGCACAGACAACGAGCGTGGGATTGGATATCGAGGGCGCTGATGTGCGTCAGATCCCGTCAGTGCGTGGGGAGCCATAATTTACTAGATATAATGTAAATATGAGTTGAGAGAAATATAATGAATGGACGTACACTCTTCACCTGGCTGTGGATGGGGTGGAATGAAGACCGTTGTGAGCGAGACATAAGTATATATATAACATAAAATTTTATTTCGTCGGGCTTGCTCGCCTCCTACGGGCACTTTGGTTGTATAGTCAGCCACCTCCGCAGCCGAGACATTTTCCCGAATATGAGGGAGACAGTCAGTAAGCCTCCTATTCACCAGCAAATGCACCATGATGCATTATGGCTCAAAGGTAGTGAACTCGATCATGCTATTAGGTTCCGCGGTAGCAATTCACTAAAATCGTAACGGGATGAAACTGCAGTGGGTCCAAATACGAACCACTCAAAAAAAAGTGCGACCCCGGGCCCATAAATCAAGGGTCCGGTGAACCAGGAATCTGTGGATGAACGAAACAGTTGCTCCCCCTGACTTTCTTTGGGACAAGTGCTCTCTGCGTGCTTTAAATTCCTGGCGCAAGGAGCCGGTAAAAATCCAAATGGGAAACAGAAACCAGAAACCCACGTTGTTTGTAATGAAGGATAAGTGTCAGTCGTTAACGGGGGGCAATCACCTGTGGTCACAGAGTCCAAAGAAGATTGCCTACACCATGGCAAGCTCAATATTTTCATAGCCAGGGACCATTACCTTCAAAGTCGAGATCTACCTCCAAGCTCCTTCATCGGTTATCTCTTCTGGTGTAGTTTGAAAGTTAGGTAACAAGGCGACAAATGTCGAATTTTATCAAGTCCGTTTTTAATGGGGACTTAGTACTTTCTTGAAGTATTTACACCTCGCGTTGCTGCTCTCTCATTGGTTCGATGGTGTAGTTGGTTATCACTTCTGTCTAACAGCGGTCCGCTGCGTGCACAGGCGGTCCTCGGTTCGAACCCGGGTCGAATCAGTTTTGCTCCCCTCCTCTTTGATTATCGCGATCTGATTATCTGCGAGAAATCACCGTGAGAAATCGTTTTCGCGTTTTCAAGACCTTTCTGACGCAGCCCACAAGATAGCCCTCGTTCGCCCGCTCATTCTACGCCAGAAATTAGCTTCAGAGATGAAGGAGGCGTGGAGAAAAGGCGAATTGATGCCAGAAAGGTAGTGTTTCCCGATTGGGACCATATCTTACATAAGTGGCGGTGATTTCCATTTTGGGAAAGGACAGGCGCATTCGGATTCGGATTCTGTTTGCAGGCGATCCCCAGTTCGAACCTGAGAGGAGTCACGTTTTGCTGCACCCTACTATCACGATCTGATCATCTTGGGAAAATCGGCGTGGGACCCGGAAGACTGCAACTGTTTCCAGGAAATTGCACGGGATCTCCAGCGGGTCAGATGGGCAGGGCCCTCGCTTCGAACCCTGGTCGAATCAGTTTTGCTCCCCTTGTCATAGATTATCAGGATCTGATTATCTTGAGAAGAAATCACCGTGAGAACTCCTTTTGGCTGTTTCAAACTTTTTGGTGCATCCTCAGACAAAGCCCCTCATTCGCCCGCTCATTTTGCGCCAGAAATCAACTTCAGAGGTGAAAGAGGCGTGGAGAAAAGACAAATTGATGGCAGAAAGTGATTATTTCCCGATTGGGACGATATCTTATATAAACGGCGGTGATTTCCATTTTTGGACGTCCACTGACTTGAAGGCATGCAAAGGACTGGCAACCTCGCATTCGGACTATTGGACGCTTTGTGATGCTGTATAGCACGAGCGCTTGGTGCTTTGTTCTTTGGACAATTGCATTCCAGTTTGACATGCAGTTTGACATGTGTTATGCAAGTATAGCTCTCGCTGCAGCACCGGCTCCGTGTGTACGTTTCTACATGGTATCGCGTATGCAGTAATGCAGTCATCAATACAACATGTCCGAATCGACCTACAGCCTGGAATCTGCCAGACGAAGTAAGGAGCGCACGTTCCCCCAATAAAAAGAACTAAATAATAAAAGAAAAGAAACGGCGGCCCGAGCAATGATATCGTACACATGCGCGATCAAGGTCTATCCACAGACTAAAGGCACCGGGCAGCACCAAGCGACACGGATACGCGTGATCTAGCAGGGTGGGTGTTAGGCCCCACCGCGCTTCTTCTGCCTGCGCGGCGTCGTGGCGGCGTTTCCGCCGTACGGGTACTTGGGCTTTTTCTCTGCGGGTTTGAGGATCTACGAGAGGCGTCTTGGGATGCGGATACATCAAGCAGGATGGGAAGAACGCACCTGGAAGGAACACAGAAGTGACTCGTCCACACTCATCATCGCGCCCGCATTGTCAAACTCGCCGCAGTAGTTTGGCGCGGAGAACAACGTGACCAGATGCCGTTTGGCGAAAAACTCGTACCCATCCTCGACGACCTGTTTTGGCATAGTTGGTAACACGCCAGTAAGCACACACCACGACGCACCTGATGCCCTCGGCATATGAGATCCATATCGTGTTTTTGGAGGAAGCGGGCGACGACGTCAGGCCCGAAGGTAAATGACACGCCGCGGTCGTTTTCTGACCAGCCGGTGATGTCCTTGTCCGGGTCGGACCACAGCAGGTCGGACAGCAGGCCGGTGTCGGGCACATCCGTGGGCCGCATCACGCGCCGTATCTGCTCCATCGACTGCAGGTCGGGACTGAGTCCGCCGTGCATCGTGAATATCTTTTCGTCGATGATAGCTGCAATGGGCAGGCAATTGAAGCAGTCCGTGAATGTCTTCCACAACTTTATGTTGTACCGCCGTTTGCCTGGGACCTGTCATTTAATCCTTGTTTGAAAAAAAAAAGCTCCGGCACGCACATTCATCGTAAAACCCATATATCCGGTTGATACATGCGCACTCGTGGTTCCCTCGCAGGATGAAAAAATTCTCTGGGTACTTGATTTTGTACGCCAGCAACAAGCAAATCGTCTCGAGCGACTGCTTTCCACGGTCAACGTAGTCGCCGAGGAACAGATAGTTCGCCTCGGCGGGAAGCCGCCGTACTCGAAAAGCCGCAGCAGGTCGTAGTACTGCCCGTGGATATCCCCTGCATGTCCCGTCATCAAATCAATTGCCACATCCGCCAAGCACACGACGCACCACATATCTTGATCGGCGCCTCGAGCTCGAGCAGAATGGGTTGGTTGATGAATATCTCGCGCGCCTTGGTGCAAAGGTACTTGATTTCGTACTCTTGCAGCTGGACGGGCTTGCCTGGCCGGTTGCCCCGCACTGAAGAGAAAATTGTCAGCAGTGCGGCGCGGATGAAAGGGCGCCGATTCGACCTTCGAGCAGCTTATCGATGACCGAGTCAAGGTCAATTTCTATGGTAGAATCTGCCATTAACAGAGCTCTATAAAAGCTGTATAACTGGGTTCCGACAAGGTGGGTATCGAGACAAAGGGGATCCGATGAAGCGTAGAGTCCAATGGGCGTTCGTTACAAGGGAATAAAGGCGCAGTATTAGATGGCTCTGGGGTATGCAGCGAGCGCAGAGGTTGGAAAAGATGTGGACGGGATGAGTCAAGACGATAGCCTGCAAATCGCGTGGTCCTGTCGTCCGAAAACAGCATCAACGCTGTGTAACCTTAACCCTAATGAATTAATTTTGGAAACATTTACGCTATGAATTAATTTTCTATGTAAAACATACTGCAATGCATAGGTCGTGTGGCAGATTAGTCCGTGCCCATGCCTTGGGAATAAAAGAAAGAATCAGCGGGCCGCCAGACTCGCTGGCGGCGGGTCGGTATTTGTAGTCGGTTCAGACGCTCCATTGGCAGGCCGCTGACGGCGTCTCCTGCGTCTGCGGACCGAGTCAGCTAATGCACAGCACAAAGAGCAAAGCAACCCACCTGGGGAACAGCGGCCCCTTGGGCATGATCCGCTCGTCGAGATCCAGCGCAATATTAGTGGCACTATGCAATCCCTATAAATAAGAATTAGCTTTTTGCAGGACCGGAGAATCAACGCTGCCCACCTCAATCCAGTCCACTACATCTCCTACATCCCGCGCCTGTAGCAAAAATTGCTCCCCCTCCAGCCGCACGCGGATAACATGCTTCCGCTTCAGGTAGTCATTCCCCAGCCCGCTCTCGGCGTTCTGTAGCGTATACGCGCGAATTAGATCCGCGGGATCAGGCTCTGGCAGGTCCGTCCCCGCCGTGCCTGCGTTCGGGCTGACCGACTTGCCCTTCCCCTTGCTACTGCTGCTCGACGTCACCGGCGCGTGTGCGCTGAGCACACCCGAGCGCGCCGACGACGACACGAGGCTCACGTTCGACCTTGACGGCGCGAGCGGCGACCCCACCATAGTCGAATTCGCGCCCCCACTGCTACTTGCCCCAGAACTTGAACTCCCGCCAAACGACGGACGTGGGATGGACAGCGATGACCTTGGCGCATTCGGCGATTTCGGTGGGTTCGGCAGATCGCTCTTGGACCGCCCATGCGAGCGCGGTTTGAGGAGACTGAGGCCGAGGTTCAGGCGCGAGCGGCTGGCGGAGGATGCCATCGACGGCGCGTGCCCGTTGCTCTCGGTCGGCGAAGACGAGGGCGAGGGCGGTGTCGCCGACGACGACGCGCGGCTGCGCGCAGAGGACATACTCGAGCGCGGCGGAATCGCCACCTCCGTCGTCCCGTCTCCTCACCACCCTCAACCCCAGCGACCCGCCCCCCCTCGCCCGCAATCTTATTCACCTCTTGCCCCTGCCGCGCCGCCGCCGCCGTCGCCTTCGCCTTCACCGCCGCCGCCGCGCTCGTCACCGCGCCCCCCGCCACCGCCACATCCCCCGCGCCCACCCTTTTCTCCCACCACCCCTCGCCCGCACACCGATACACCCGAAACACCGTCCCTTCCAGCTCACACACCACCCTCCGCCACTTCCGGTCCCGCGCCTGCACCCCCGGCGCCGAAAACTCCATCTTCCGCGGCATCACGCCCCGCAGCAGGATGTCGTTCGTGTACCGCGGCAGCACCTCGCGGCCCTCGTCTTCTCGGGGCACGATCCGCGCCTGCGCAAGCGGATGTGCGTTCCCGCCGCCGGTGGTGTTGAGGTTGAAGAACGGCGACGGGAAAAGCGGCATGGTGTACGGCGGCGGCGCAGCCATATCTCCGGCATCGACCTACGCCTCTTCACCGTCCCCGCGCGTTGCGGCGGGCCCTCGTACGCCGGCGCCGCCTCGGTCGACTCCCGCGTCTTGCCCTTCCCGTTATCGTGCCCATCCTCAGCGCCCTCCTCCACGACGTCGGGGGGTTCAACCGAAATCGACGTCGGCAGGATATCGACCATGCTTCTTGACGCGTGCTTGTACATCCCCGGCCGCTCGGGCGCAGGGAGCGGCGGCATGGGGACGGTGCGCACCGTAGGCGAGAGCATTGGCATCGGCTGCGATCCGGATCCAGGTCGGGGCGTTCCCTCGCTCGTCGGCGTGCGCAGCGAGAAGTAGTCGTGCGCGTGCCACGCGTGTACGGTGGGCGTCTTGCCAGAGCCCTGTGACGCCTGCGGGCGGAGCGGTGTTTCCGCGCCAACGGTGGCAGCGCGTTCCCTCTCTTTCCCCTTCCCCTTGCCCTTTCCCCCCAGCTTCAGCATCCCCGCGATATCCAACGAAAGCGGGCCCGCGATATCCAGTCGCGGCACGAACGGTGAATCCGTTCCCCTGCTCGTCCGACTCTCATCGTCTCTATTCCCATCTTCCGCGTCTACGTCTCCCTCGTCCCGCTCCCCATCCATCGCCTGATTGTCGTCGCCCTCCTCGATATCTAGGTCCCCATCCTCCTCGTCACTCTCCCCGGCTGCGACCCCCGGCTCCACCCCTGCCCCCTCCATCGCCAGCGCCGGCATACTCCTCACCACGCTCCGGCTCGCCTCCCGCCCATGCGCTCCCGGCCCAAAGATCACGCTCGACCTTCTCCCCACGCTCCCGCTCACCGGCGACCCCA